AACGGCCCCTATTGTCCATTGACACCCCTGATGTTGCGAGCAACCATTCTTTTATTCTCTTGGAGAGGGTGGTCCTCGCGGTATTAAGACAACTGTTTCTGGTTTTCCAAGACCAATCTTTTTTACTTTTTGGTTAATGAATGTTGTCAAATGCCAGGCTCACCATGTTGGGCCGAGATGTGTTATCCTCGTAAAGCTCTTCTTTGAACGTAATCCCTCCACTAAAATTCCTATTTGATGGTCATTATAAAGAAAAATTAGAAAAAAAAAATGATGTTTTGAATAGTAATTTTTTGGAGAATGTGGTTGAAAAAAATTTTAAAAAATTGAATTTACTTACAAAATATTTTATTACATGAATATATGATTAAAAATGATTATAGAAAAAAAAAAAAAAAAAACTAATTTAAAGAGAGTCAAATAGAGGCACACTGCCACAATTTTAATGTGTCACAATTGTAAAGGTGGTACCTCAAAAATTGAAATGAGGTTTGTGAATTTTTGACACTTCAAAATTCTTTTGAGACTCTAATAAGGGATATCATCCAGACATGTGAACACTTGACGGCAATAACCACAATTAAAATGTGACTTCAACATAGTTTTCAGTAAGGTATGATTGGCTAAGCTTAAAATTTACTTTCCAATAAAGGTAAATTTAAGACTTAATTGCTGGTAAATTTTATATTAGTAAAAAAAAAAAAAAACGTGCTTTCAAAATTATCTGTCTAAAACTAAACTTACTTCTTTGAAACTAAACCGAACATGCTCCTTTTCTTAACATCACCCCGAACAAATGTAAAGCTGCAAAAATTTCATTTTCAATAAAATAATGTTATCCATCATCTATCTAAGTGATCGACTCTCCTAACTTACTATCCAATGCATTAAAATACACCATAACTCCATTGAACAACGAACTAAGGATCCACCACCATTAAACTATATCCTTAAAACAGATGATCTTTTCTAATGATGAATAGCACTACTCAATATTGTAGCTACTCATTCAAGAGAGTCCAGCCAAGAAGTTGCTTCAGCAAAATTGGATAAAGATAAAGGCAAGACAGCTCACTAAACAAACTCAACTCGATTTAAAAATGGCCCTTTTCAATAAAACCATACAACGCTCCAATGAATAAAAACTTCAGATAAGTGTCTTTAATAATGTTCAACTTTCATTTCTCTCTCTATGAATTTATTAGTAATTTGCAAAAACTTGAATATCAATACCACGAATGATAAATTTTAAGCTTGAAGTCTCTGACAAGATAAAATTTTAGACAGAAAGCTACCAAATTAGTGTGCCAAATTTCTCACAAGGAATTACGAGCTCAAAACAAATACAATAAACTTCCATACTAGAAGATGAAATATTCGAAGGTTGCACTTGAGAGCCGGTGGGGAGAGAGAGTGCTCGTTCTTCTTGCACAGGAACAGGGAGATTTAGTCGCATTATCACTCCCCAATGTAATAACTAAAATACAAGCTACATTCTCATTCAAGTATAAGATGCAATTACAATAGTGAAAAACAAAAAGCAACCTGTAACATTAAAACTTCAGTTCCTGCAGTAACGGGACTTTTCTATCTGGTACATCTAGTAATACATGGGTGGCTGGGTTGTGGCAATGCTTGGATATCCACCGCCATATACTGCCTGAGTATCTGCACCAATTCGCCGACTCTGTGGAAGCATAAGAGCCTGTGCACCACCCATTTTACTCAAAGCAAGCTGCTGTTCATAGGCAATAAGATCAGTGGCAGAGAAGCCTTGATAGTCTAGCTTCACTAAGGCCATATAATGATGGATTTTTTAATTCTAATTTGAAATTATCACACTGAATCAAGAGGCATGCAATCAAAGGCCCCCCCGAGGGTACACGAGTTGAATGATTGCAAATGGCCTTAACAAAATAATAAAAAGCCTAAATACCAAATGATTAAATTGCAGAATGAAAAGCTAACCCCATATCTCTTTTCGTCATTTCCTGCTCCCCTACCCTTTAACCCATGAAGAACAATCAAATAGAGAAGAGAAGAAACTCTTACCGCCAGTTTTTGTTGCTAGCTCTACAATAGTGCAATCTACATCATTGCATCACCATTTCATAGGTACCAATTTTTTACTTTTTTTATTTTTTTTTTATTTTTATTTTTTTCTAGAATGGTAAGTTTTTGTTACATGAAAGGGGCACCACTTTGAGTTTTTTTTATTGGTGTCACACAGCACCCAAAATCTCAAGACTGGCCCTGAACGTGATGCAGGCTTTTTTAGTGCCAGATGAGAAGTCCTTAATAACAAGTTATAACATCTTAAGAAAGAAACCAAGACAATGCCCCTCCCAAACAAAAAATGAAAAGTCATAATAATTGTGAGTGAAATATGCGAGAGAGAGAGAGAGAGAGAGAGAGAGAGAGAGAGAAGCCTAATATTTATAACACTCTAATGCATAAAGGTTGAGATAACACTGTCAAGCAATTAAAATGCTAAGTATTATGTGCATATGATAGTCCCCAGTCTCTAGGTTCTGATGGTTAATAGATATAGCTTAGCAAACTCTATTAATTGAAACAGTCTACATCTCTCTCTGATCTACATGATTCAATAAAAATTAGCACAGTAAGCAGTCAATAATGACAGCCCAAAACTGCCACATAGAAACGAGAGGCACCACCAACTGCACTTGTAGCTACTGCATCATGTGATACATATTGACACGCTCATTAAAGCACCTTTGGTTCGTCTAGTCCCTGTAATGCTACTAATTGGAAGTTTGACAAAAGAGAGGAATACACATGGCATGCCTTTGTGTATAACTGGGTGTGTCAGGAAATGCATGTTAGCCCCTTATAATCCTACTATCTGGGACTCCAATGAAGAGCTAAAGAGATACGGGGGTCAATGGAAATACATTTCTTTTCAGGACATCGCTAACATTCTATTGAATTTGCAAATTTATATATCCCTAATTAGAAAGTAAGTGTACCTTGATTGCTTTGCCGAAAAGAATTCTGGCATTTCCCATCTGGATGGCACGAGCTGCTTCAGCATGTGTGCTGTATCTCACAAAGCCAAAACCTTTGTCTCGTTGAATACGGACATCTTCAATGACTCCTACCCCAAGTGCATGGAAATGACGGTGGAGATCAAGTGATGTAACCTGAAAATATAGTTGCAATGGAAACATATGAAACAAAGGTAAAAAACCTCCTCCATTCTTAAATCATCCTCTGGAAGCCAAACAGAAAATGAGAAGGGATAATAAAACATGCTACAAAAAAAAAAGGATCTTGTATACTTAGAAATGGAAAAGACTGTGAATGTAGCTTCACGATCCAACTCCTCTGATCATAGTTATACCACCACTACACAACTGCACATAACTGCATAATAGTTTACGATTACTCTGTCCTCATTGGATAGGTCTATTAAAGAAATAGTAAAGAACAGTTGTCAGTTAGACAGGATAGAGGTCTGAAATTCAATTATTTGAAAGAACATTTTTACATGCTACCAAGAAAGCATGGACACGAACACACGTGTCGGACATGATGAAACAAAATTTTTAAAAAAAGTACCGAAACGAAATGTTTCAGTAATATGTCGATTAAAATATATATATATTTTTTAAGAATAGAACAAATAATTTCTGTCAGAGACCAGATCACCCTTCAAAATTGAACTACTTTATACTTTCAACACGTCTCAGTATCAGCGATGCGTTGGACACCAACACACCAGCTCCAGTGGCATGTATGTGCTTCATAGCATGCCAGTAACTTCCATCACAATTTAAGAGCTCAAAATGCAAGACCAGAGGCCAAGACAGTTCCTTTGATCAAATGGAAGTAAAAATGATTTAGTTACATAAAAGAACATCTGAGAGAATGAGCATGAACCGCTTTAGAGGTGTACTAAAACGATTAAAATAATTGAAGAATTGACTACTACCCCCCAAGGTCTTATTATTTTCTCCATAGTCATACAAATAACATAAGTACTCACCAAAGTTTAGTTATGTGACCAGAACATAACAAATAGCATTCCACCACAGAATCAACAGGTTATAATAAGAGTGGGTTCAACAAATACTTACTTCAGCAGCAAGATTGCCAACATAGACAGTGGTATACTGGAGATTATTTTCTGGTGCATCCTCATTCCTCTTTTCTTGACCATCTTCTGCACAACAAACTATGTTTAAAAATATGTTATGCAAGACAAAAATATAATCGACTGCAAAAATCATACCGAGAAAATCATGCATCTAGAAGTTTGACCTTTTTTTGCAGGCATGCACGTATATAGAATGCTAATTTAAAATGTCTAGTGGCTTTCAAATATGTCTTATTAAAATTGAAAAGACCTTTCATGCACCCCAAATTTCTAAATTAAAATTTTGAAATTTGTAAATAAATCGAAATTAACACATCAGTTTCACCTTAAAGGCATGGATTCTGATGTGATTCAAATATGATATGATACGGTACAGATACATCGATAAACTTAAAAAATAATAATAATAAGATACACAAATACATGTATAAATATAAAATATAGAAAATTCAGCTTAATTTCATTATTATTAAAAAAAATTAAAATAAAAGCATAATAAAAAAAAAACATATATATGTAGATATACACATATACACACACACACACCCACACACACACATCTATATATGTATATATACACATATACGTACATATATACACATATATATACATACATACATACATACTTACACACACACACACATATATATATATCAATATCTTCATTATCATTAAAAATAACACCTTCCAACTATGGCTTATTTAATGATAGATTAACAATATCAAGCAGCCCAACACCTTTAAGAATATCAAATGAGTCTCCAACGATGTCCACATTTTGAATTCTCCTTTCGAATATATATTTAATACTATTATCTATTTTCAATAATAAAAATATATTTATTAACTATTAACATGATTTTATATGTATAGAAAACTCTATTTCCAATAAATATTATCCATTTCCAATAAGTTATTGAATAGTTATCTATTAAGTAAATTCTTTTTTACCACATATAGCCAATAATAATGAATTTTAAAAGAGTTTAAAAAAAATAAAACTCTTCTTAAGGTGTCCTAAAATATCCGATACATATCGAAAATAATTTAAAAACATATAATAATTAAAAATACATATCCAAAAATTTAAAAAATATAAGATAATTAAAAAAATACGTATCTAGTATGTTTCGGAGAGTATTCAAAAACTTGGATAATCTTGAAATAGGTACGTAATGAGCCTACAAGTATCCACGCTTCTTAGGTTTTCACATTCATCAGGAGCATGACATGCAAATTCAGATTTATACAAATTGTAAATAAAGTTGTAGAACGAACCTGATGTTCCATTTGTTAGTTCCAGAATGTTTTTTGAGTCAGAACTATTCTGGTCATCACCAGAAATGGCACCTTTTGTTGCCCAATTGCAACGAATTTGTCTGCTTCCAAGCCATTTCCCTGCAATTTAATAAAAGGATAGTCTTAACCATCGACCTAACAATTTCATACAGATTAAAAGGGGAGTGAGAACCCCTACACATTACTTATAGATCATTGCTTGCATAAATCTGAAAGCATCATTGTCATCCAAGATGCCTTCCACAATGACGAAATAAGAGTAAATCCCATGGTATGGTAATTATTTTAGTTTTGGGAACCAGTCAAACTTGTTGTAGGAAGTAGGAATACGAGTCAAGAAGTTATTTAGTAGTGTCCAGCCAAAATGCATTATAAACTTCCGAATTCAATACATTGAGCAAAAATAGAACCATCTATTTACCACTCAAAAGTTGACATTAAATGGCCCTACTCATATTAAATTTATACCATCGTGCAATTGGTTGTACATTTCTATTGACCATGAACATCAGCTTTTGGAATTAGGATGGCTAAAGTCTCAAATTCATCAAAATCTTCACAAAAAATTTGCTCCAGTTATCTTGGTTGCCCAGATTCAATGTTCACAAAAACTCTACTTTGTAAAACAGAATATAAGAAAGATTTCTAACACTGCGAAACTCAGAACCATGCTCAAGCCATCAGACAGTTCAAGGGACTTATGTGAAGACGTAGAAATCAAAACATCATTGAACCGGTGTTGGTACACATGTAATAAACTCGGTGCTGTTAAAGGCATGACTAGGCGTGATTTTCTCCAGGATTGAACCTCCAGGGAAGATAAAAGAGAAGAAAGGAGAGAAAAAGAAAGAAAAGAGAGGAAGAAGGGAGAGGACAAAGAAGATCCTAGCCAAAATACTGATAAATTGACATGATATGAGGAAAAGATGTATTAAGTAAAATATATTCTTACCATTCAAGTCATTTATTGCACTTTGAGCATCCTGGACAGCAGTACAGCCAACAATGGAGTTTGTTCACGACCACGAAGAGATACCAGAAATTAATATGTGTACTAATTACAAGGGCTGAAGCAAAAAGGCAACGAATCCGCACACCTGCTGATTACGAAAAGAGACAAATCCAAACCCCCTTGAACGGCCAGTCTTCTGATCCCACATGACCCGAGCATCTCTATAGTAGCACAAGTATTGATGCAATGTCCCAATTATTAATCAGTCTAAAATCCAGGGGACTCAATTTCTAGGGCAAAAACAAACACAAATACCAAAACTTACGAGCAACTAGGATAGACAGAGAAGCATGCATACAAAGTGGCATCAGTAACCTCCGGACTAAGATCACCGACAAAAGTGTTAAAGTGATCTGTGGGGTCAGGACACATATAATATAGATCAGCTAATGATTAACGAGAAAAAAGGATATAAGGCTACATAAATCCTAGATGTATGTACATACTTGAGGTATCCTCTCTCTGAGCACTGGTATATGCCCAGTTAACTTTTATAGGCTGTCCAAACCTGCAAAACTAAATATTAGATTAAAGAGAAACTAGTTAATGCCAACTATTTATTTTTATTGGTACTTACAAATGCCTTCCATTCAAAGTTACAATAGCGAGAGCAGCTGATCGACGATCGAAGTAATCCACAAAACCATAGGATGACTGCATCAAAAAGGGGGTTTGGGGGGGGGGGGGGGGGAAAATTTAGGGGTTCATTTGAGAGTTAATCCACCTTCTAGGACCTTGTAGCAAACTTACCATAAATACTAATTCCCACATGTTTTTGGTTGAATTCTTGCTCAAACACTTGCATAGAAAATTCTTGATTTATATTTGATTGACCAAACATAAGGTAATGTGTAGTCTGAATGCATGAATGTAGGAATGAGGGAGAGTGATAGGATCCTGCAATTGCTGAGTTTTTCTAGGATTGAATATTGAAGTTGCTGGACTGAATACCTTGTGAAGCTGTTATCCAATCAATATTAGCTTATATTACCTCAACTAGAGATAACTAGAAGATGACAGATATTATATGTAATGGAATTTATATAGTTTATTTGATTAAAAAAGGACGAAAGACACTGGAATTGGACAAATGACACTGAATGGAAAACAAGATACTCCCAGGCTCTTCGAGAGGCCTGACTCTCCTCACAATACTCAACTATTTTCTGATGCCCTTTTAGTCCCCTCCCCATCACATTTATAAGCAATCCCTTGACCATAAATACTTGATTTATTACATTTTTGACCCTACTAACTATCGAACATTCTAGACTAACAATGAGTGGCAGCAACCAAGTGAACCGGATTGGAATCTATCAGAGAGAGTCTTGCTCATTTCACAAATTTCAAGGAAACAATTTCCACCATCATGGGTTTTTCCTTAATGATGCATGCTCAGTCTTATCCTAGTTAAACCCCCCATTCACATTCACATGCTACCATTCACTATTATTTTTCAGTCTAAATAATAAAAACATATACACGTTCATAAGCCGAGGTGAAAATTGTAAAGGGATCAAGTCTCTATTACTCTTTCTTTCAAACTTCACTGTAGGTACGCTACCTACGTTGGATTATTATTATGTTATAAATTTTAAGAGAAATTATTATGGGTCTCATATCGTATGATATGATTATGATTATGTTAAGGGGACCGAAATTTATTAGCGCTACACATGAGAATTCTTACCACCTATGCTCGGTAAAATTCATGTGTCTTCATTATGTTGATTATGATTATTATGCTCCTTTAAGTTATGCACGATAATAATTCATGACGTACTTATTAGGATTTTATAAATCTCACTTTATAATAATTCCCCCTTTCAAGCAATTGATGGTTCGAGGCAGTGAACGTGGAGATAACTATGGGGCTAGATTTAATAAATTATTTTGAGTTTAAAAACACAACTTTTAATTTCTAATTCAATTGTTATATTGGAATTATTTTCTTTATTTTCGCAGCTACGTAATAACCTACAATTTATTTACTTTTTGAAGAAAAAAATTATTTCGTGTTATTATTTTAGTTCTTACAAAAGAATTTAAGTTTTATTTAGTGACACTCGAATAGTCAAGGATTCGAGCCGTCACACATAAGCTAGACATTTTATTGTCTTTTTAAAAATGGAAAAAATGTCTGCATAAAAGATCTTATCCATATCCCTCTGAATTACAGGCTTCAATCAACATAGTTCTTAATTCTTATACATACATCATGAAGTTAATGAACCTCCAAACTACAGGACCATGCAGGATCTTTAATATTTCTATGTTCTACATGTCTGTACACTTTCAACACAAAACACAATAGACTCTAAAATCATTTCAGAAATATCTTAGCTATACAAATATCCTTCAACTTCAGATTTTTGTTTCTATCATCAAAATACAGCTCTAACGCATGTTAAAGAGGTAATTTAACTGATATATAGGCATTTGTAAAAACTTGAACATTCCATATAGAGACATTTGAACCAAGTATGTATGAAAGCCCACAAGACCTGGGCAGCATCAATGCAGAGAAGAAATGTTATATTGCCTCAGAAGTACAAGTGTAAAAAACTGAAGACATAAACTTCAATAAATAGATACATAAATTTGTAGAGACAAGGAACAAAAAGTTATCCGACCATACCTTCTCTTTACGGATGAGTTTGCAACCTTCAAGGGCACCAGTACTAGAGAAAACCTCTTGAAGAAGAGGTTCCGTGACTTGTGGATGGATGTTTCCAACATATCTACATTATGTTGAAAAGGATTGTCCCAAAATAATGATAAGATAAAACTTGAAACTTAGTGTGAGAGACAAACACCCTCTATACATCATCACAATAAATTTAACCCGGAAACTTCAAGAGGTAAATATGAAGATAAATGACATTTACTCTTAAAAAAAGAATATTATATAACATATAAAATTGCAATGTGAAGGTAAATCCATCATCCTTATCCATAATACACAGAACTGAGGAGAAGTCTACTACACCCTAATAAAAGTTTTGGCCTACCATTACCCACCAATATCAAATAGACACTAAAGAAAACCTTCACTAAAATAAAAAACCTACAAGCTGTGTTAATATAGTTCCCAGATCTAACGGGTACAAATTTTGAACAACATAATATTTAAATCAAAATATATGTACTGAACTCAACAAACCTTATCACATTGAAATATTTTCATAGAAAACAAAAACGAAAACAATAATAACAAACAGTAAGCGAATGAATCATTTTTCCATTGTGTTTGGTTCATCATACCTCCATTGAAAGAACCAAATATTTGGTCCAAATATATATTAGAAAAGTTTTTATTTATTTTATTTTATTTTATTTTATTATTATTTTTTTTTTTTTGGTATGGAACATATGTCGAATACATTCAGGCACCTAAGAATGAAGTATCATGAACCATACAACACAGAACAGAATGGTGTTCTCAGTAATAAGCATACTTTCCAACAGGATGGCATAAGTCAGGAAAGCAAAGCATAAATATATTTGAATCGAAGAACTCAAGAAAACAAAGTTATATGTGCATCAGAACTCACACACTACGGCAACTACTTGAATCAAATCCGGGCGGCAAATTTCCACTCAAGATAGGTTCTATCTGCAAATCAAATACCATTCATAAGAATTCAAGCATAAAAAAATATAGCTAAATAAATAATGCTTCTCCAGTGAGATTAGGAAAATAGAAAATCAAAATATTGACAAAGAAAGCCCCGTGACGATGTGCCAAGGATCTTCATCTCAGCTTACAAATATTGCCCACAGAATTCTCAGACAAAAAAAAAAAAAAAAAAAAAAAAAAAAAAAGTAGAAAGTTCAACAAGAGAGTTGATATCGCCAATCTAAAATTAAATAGAAAACAAAAACTTGTCAACTATATGGCTTGTTTGTTATGAATAGTTCCATTAAAGTTAGATTTACTTCTGTATTGAGACATTTTCTAGTTATAAAGTAAATATGATTCATTTATTTATTTTACGCTGCCAATATTATTATTCATTACTTATTCACTTATCGAATATTAAATGGCCACTGGTCATTACGCAGATATATATTCATGACTCATAATTTAAAAAAGTGCCAGTGACCAGCAAATAAAGTTGCCAAGTTGACCACTTATTCTGTTATCTACTCCAAGATTGGGTGGATGGCTTGTCTTGACCACAAAATTGGTGAATTCTGAGTAGAGTTACTAGTGCATGTTTAATTTATCTTAATGACTGTTAGGTTTATTCAATGATGCAGTCCATCTTAATTCTGAGTGGATAATGGACCTTGACTCGTGACTGAAGCATTTGAGGCATCCATGAATAAGATTACGATGTAATCATGATCTTAGTGATTTGGGAGTTTGGCTTGTGAATACATGGAATATATATCCTAATATGTAATCCATAACTGTCTAAAGAGATAGGAAAGTCCAACTATAGATTTTCTGGTACCTGGATGAATTTGAAGCCTGATTAATTTCACAAAAGGTTTATTCAATAATTGAAATTATTATATTTTGGTTTGGATCGCATATTATTTTGTCATTCGAAGGAAAATGCAACCAAAAGAGAAAGATATAGCCCTTTTTCGGGTTCCATTTTAATGAGGTCTTAGGGAAAATGTATTTTGAAATATAGTGATTTTCTAAAGAATGTTTAGTTAAAAAAGAAGGAAAAATTTTAGCTTATAAGGTAATACAATTTTATTGGAGGATTAAAAAGAGAAGAGAGAAAAAAAAAATCATTTTGAATTTAATGGAGCCAAAACAGGGGCATAATTGGATAGGTAAAAAGGTCATTTTACACCGAATTCCAATTGTTGATATTTGATGAAGATCGAATGTTGATCTTAATTATGAATTATTAGTTTATTGGGCTACAATGATTAAGCTTGTATTCAAAGAGTAATCAATTGTACTACTGTTGACTAGAAGTAGATTTGAGCAATTGAAACTTGGATTTAACAAAGTCCATTGTGTCTCCCAAGTAGCTCTATAATTACAAATGCACTATTGAGTATTTTACGTGACTAAAGTTACACAAAAGGTTGCACAGGGATTGTCGACATTAGGGTATCTAGAGTTATAGAGGTCTATCGATGGCTACATAAGACACAACAAAGGACCCCCACCCACATTTATGAAAGGGGCGTCCATCTACTAAATACACGTCTTTCAGTATCCATTTAACAACACACGTGAACAGGAGTATTCACTGTTAAGTGTTTCAATGGAGGAAGGATTTCTAAAAATGGCAAATTAAGTTTACTCAACAATTTTACATATTTCTTGAGTGTCCAATAAGAGCATCTTTGGTAAAAATTAAATTATAATTTAAACTAGTTAAACATAATTTTATCCATTTCGTAGGACCACAACTTACTACTTATTTATTATTCCTTCTGTAGGACCCAAAGCTTAGAAGCAC